TTTATAGTATTAATCAAAAAATAATACTATAAATATTATAAACTAGTATTAATACTATATTAATAATATAAAGATTAACCAGATTAAACAACAATAAATTATTTTAAAAAAATAATGTAACTTAAAATAATATATTATTTTGGTTTAGAATATTTTAAGACATTAGATATTCCATTTTGTGCTAAATTCTTGGCTGCAGATAATTTATATGCTTCGTCTGTATCGTTTTCATCCGTAATTGTCTAAAAAAAAAATAATACAATTACTATCGATAAACTAAAACATTTTATTGCTAATTTAATACCCATGAAACTTTTTTCATTAACACTAATTTAGAGTCCAATAATTTGAGCATTTCCTGGTTCTTAACAGGTTCTTTATTCTTTTTCAGCCATCCGTTACAACGCCACCTTGTAAAGTAATTTGTGACACAATTCACCAAAAATGTTGAATCTGTATGGATATTTATTTTGCTTATGCCTAAAACAAGTTACGGAAGTTACTTAATTTATATAACGAACTACAGTGTAATTATACAGTTAAGAGGGCCGCAGCATGATTTTTACAAAACAATATTAAGTATAGATATCAAAAAGATAAAAACGCCACCCTATAGAAAAGTTTTTCTCTAGATTTTATTTTTCATTTTTTTGATACCTACACTTAATATTTTTTGGTAAAAACCATGCTGCGGCTACCTTAAGAGGGCGTCGTATCGCCCATTTTTAATGAGTACAGTATAGGCAATTTTTTTTACAAAATCTTAATTTAAAGGTTTAACTGTGACGTGTAGTTATTAGTTCAATAACTGGGACTCTATTTTGGTAGTCAATTTATTTTTTGGACTCGGAGCACCTGAAAGCGATTTAAAAATTTGTTTTCATCTCTACATGTTTAAGCAGACTAAAAATAACTCGCCGGAATATTGTTCTCTTTTAATTTTATAATGGGTGCTTTTACTCTAAAACCAAAATTAATCGAGTTATTTTCAGTTGGCGTAAACATGTTTTTACCACTGAAAATCACCGGTGCGACGCCCTCCTAAGAGGTACTGTTACAGTGCTAGATAAATAATGTGTAGAACACCAATCTAATGCCAAAATTATAGCATAGTTATACAACACAGCTCCTATATATACAGGGCCGGTGGCAAAGGGGGTATGGTGGGTCGTCTCGCCCCCCCTCCCCCGGTTGGATTTTTTGTAACAGTCGGCATTTTCTTAATAGCAAGGAGCCGTCAGCAATTTTACGACTTTTTAAAAACTGTTCTCCCAGATTTTTTTTAGGCAATCAAAAAAATTATTAAAAACGGCGTTGGCCGTATTTTTATTTCGAGTCGGTAAATTATCAACTGGCGAGTGCCGACCGTCTGTATGCTATCGCTATCTTTAATACTCGTCACTCGTGGGCCTATTGTTATTATTACAGTCAACGGATGGTACTGCAATAAAATAGCCTGAAGGGAAAAAATATAATTATAGAATTGTATACATAAACATCTTACGTTATCTATTCGACAGGGTATTGATTTGATTCAAACCGTATCAGTCGTGTTATTTTAGGTGGAGCAAATACTATAAATGACAATACCGGAAGGTCGATGTTAATTTGTATTGACTCAGATTTCCCCCACAATAACAGCGTTTTCCAAATCAAGGAATCAAAATAGTATTATTTTGAAACGACGTCTACACAGAAAATTGAAATTTAACATAGGCTTATCAAATATAAATTATTATCATACGTAATATGAATACGGTATATTGTTTACAATATATAGCTCCACTTACCTAACCTTATATCGTGGGGAGGGTAATGAGCACCTAAAAAGACCTAGCCTTCCGGTATTATTATTTATAGTATTTGGTTGGACCAACTATGTATTTTTTCTATGCAGTAGACTAAAATAAAAATAAAATATTTTACTTTAGTTAAACATAGTTGAGATAACTAACTCAACTAACACATAAGTTATAAAAAAATGTTTTGATCATTAATTTAGTCGAAATCAAAAATTGTTAAGCCAATTGTTTAATTCAAGGCATCGTCGTGGCACAATTTTAAAACTATTTTCGGTTAATTAATTATTTCCATTTAAAAAGGTTAAAATTTGCATTATTTTATATAGAAATAATTAATATACTAAAAATAAATTAAAAATGTTGCCACGGCCGACCGATGCCTTGATAATGTTGTGAACAATTCAAATGTTTTTTAAAAACTTAAATCGATGTATTCTTAATTTGATTGATTTTGTACAAAAATAGATCGACTCTTACATGACCGAATTTCGCTATTTTCAATGAATTATTTTGCTTTTACTCAGTCAACTATGTTATCACGGTCTAATAAATAATATGTTATGTTATCACTGTAAAATACGGCCGACTTCGGTTATTATACGACCGGTTATTCGCTTTTAAGCCCATTATTATTGTTAGTGTTCGATCGTTTTCGCCGCGTTAAAATTACTTTTCGGAAAAAATACGAGTCAGATGTGCGTTTTATCTCTCTACGGGTTTTTTACCTAGCAAAAATACCATCGTTTTCTCATGGACGTTCAAATGGGTTGCCGCCGAATGACAAAACCCCAATCACTTGTTTATGATATAATTATTATGTATTATCGTTGCATGTAACAGGATAATGTCAACAACAGACATAATATGCCGGTCGGCCGACCGGGGACCCAATAACAGCAAACTGTAAACAACACGACTTTTATATATATATATATATATATGATATAATAATACAAGCTGTCCCGACCCGGCGTTGTCCGTGTATTAGAATAGACACACAATCAGAAGTCAGAAGAAATATATATATAAAGGATGTATGTCGACGTTTTATTAATAAACACACATAATAATATTATTGGGTTGTAGTTTTTGCATTTTAAAATAGTCGCTTGTAGTAAAATTGAATTGAAAATAAAGTGTATCGAACGGATATCGTGTACTTCATTAATTTAAGTTTTAAAATTTTAACAACATAATTAAACCTCAAATAAAAACGCAATTTTTTTTAATTTAAATTAATTCTGTACTTAATTGAATGTCAATTATGACATTTCATGTCTTTGCTTTGCCACACAACCCGAAAAATCGACAGTTTTTATCACAACGAAAATTTCTGATGATTTATCTGATAAGATAAAAGAGATTAGAAATAAAATGCCTCCCGTGGTTGCGGCCTCGTAAGCAAGCTGTTGTAATGGGATAGGAATGGAGTTTAACACGGTTTTTATTTTAAATTTCAATTAGAATCTTAGGTACATATTTAGTATTAAAACGATTTTAAATATAAATTTATGTTAATACAATTAGTAATACTTACATTTTTGTTTAAAAAATATGTACTTATAGAATCACTGTAAAATTTAGATATTGTAGGTAAGCTATATAGAAATCAATAATTCACCCTAAATAATGGTTGTCGTAAAAGTTGTAACTATAGTTTTATTTTTTGAAATTGATATACATAACTATTTTACTTTTGTCAATCCTGTAGCTGATTTCAGATTTTTTTTTTAAGAGGTATTATTTTTAATTATTTAGTAGAAAAATATTTGTTTACCTATCTAAAAATAACATTAATACACATATGACATAAAATATATTTTTAAATAATAATAATATATTTAATCCACTAAATATAAATGATTGGTTTGGCAAAAATTTAAAACTTAAAAGTTTTAACAAATTTAAACTACAATTTCGTTTGAAAATTTAAACGTAACGTATATATTTGATTAACTTTTAAAAAGTAAGAATAATTTATTAAATGTTGACTGGTCAATAACCAGTCTTGGAAAATTATTATTATTGTCATTAAAGATTAAAGTTAATAACGGGAAGAGTGGGATGTAGTAATATTTTTATCTCCGTCCATTATACAACCGCACTTCTCTATTTGTCCTAACTTTTACACTCTAATAACTTTAAAAATAACGAGATCACGTAATATAAAAAACAATGCAAAAAATTAAAATTTAAAAACGAATCAAATCCTATAAGATATTGATTGAGTGGATCTCTTTAAAAAAATCATCCTGTATAATTTATATACAGTATCAATAAGTTAGCGATAAAGGTTTCAAGATAAAAGAGGTTGCGTGGGCCGCAACTCGGGCTGCAACTCACCTACAGCCAGTGGCGGCTCGTGCGTAGGTGAGCAGGTGCGAGCGCACCACATGTCATTTTATCAAAATAATATTTTTTATTTTTTTAAAACTTAACCGTTGTAAATTTCTTTTTAAAAATATCGGCGTGCTATTAAAAAAACATTATTCAACAATATTTTTCGGCAAAGAACTATTATGTCGTGAACATATTATTGCTCCTAAAGTAATAACAGTTATGCAACATGCACACACCAATCGGTGCGCAACACTGTGACAGCCCCGCAAAGTTGAACCCCGAACCGATTTAAAAAAAAAGAACGTTATCTACGAGTAATTTTGAGGTTTTTTCATTTGTATTCTGATTTCTGCATCGAATGGTCGATATTATTTCATAATAAATGTATGTATATTTTACCCGTCATAGTGAATTATTTCCTCTTAGAATTAACACTTAATTTTTTCTTTAAAAAATGAATTCAGTAGAAAATCTTTTGAAAAAAAATTCTCTCTATACAAATGAGGAAAAAATAAAAATAAAAACATTGGGAAGACCCGTGCCGGATTTAAATTTAATAAAAGTTACAAAACAAAAATCTCGGTAACATACTCGTCATTTTACCAATGACTATTATTCTAAAAATTAAATATTATTAAATGACTTACATATGATTAATAATAAACATTATTTTAAACCAGTAAAGACATGTTACATCATAGTAAATGCTTGTTAGTTATCATTTTGTGCACCACGAGCCACCACTGCCTACAGCCATTTTTTTAATAGTTCATATAAAAGGGTAGGTAGGTACAAAAGGTACTATCAATGACATATGATGTAGGTAATCACTGACGGCAATCATGAGAGGAGTAGTTGGCGTTTATACTTCATACGTTTACACATATTAATTATTTTAATTGTTCAACCCTTTTATTATTTGATGTGCTTCTGTATGTTTTATCTCAATATACAAATCACTGGTAACAATTAAGTAAAAATGCATTGTGTGTGTGTGGCAACGCTGAGTAACAATTTAAGCAGTTCAGCTAATTAGACATTCCCCTAGTCGAGTCCAACAAAACTTTTTGTTTTTCTGTGGCTGTGTTGGTTAATATGTGTATGTGTTGTAAGTAATAAAGAGTTGAGGTGGTGGAAAATATTAAAGATTTTTAGGTGTTTTATAATCTCCTGAACTAAATTTAATAACCATATTAGTTCAATTTGATTTGATGTAAAGATTTTAGAAATTTAGGCTTCATTAAGCGATATTAAAAATCAGGATTGTTTGATAACACTTTATTTTGCTCTTTTGCGATATGTACTAGAATTTTGTGAGGCTGCGTGGAATGTAAACTACCAGTTAGATGTTTTCGATAAACTAAATAAGGTCCAGATAAAAAAAAAAATTGTATATGTTTCCTGAGCAACCACATAATTGTAAATGCTTCCGAACTACATTTTCCCCCTTTTAGCGCTATAATTAAAAAAGTTGGAACCCCCCTTATTTAATTGATGCCGCCTATGACATTTGCTCCATTCGCTCCCCTCTTTTGAAAGCCCTAGTTTTACTTCAATTTAAGTTTTAAATATTGATAAATAATTTGGTATAAGTATAAATTTATAATAAATACAACTACTAACCAAGTTGTTGGACTTGACATATTGCTAAAAGAGCACCATATATTTTAGCATTAGCTAACGTTTGGCTTGATGGCACTTTGGAATGCAGGTTACTGAAAAATCAATAAAAAACAAATGTAGTTACAAAATAACTTTTATACTTGTGGTATTGTTATTTGCTATACATAAAACATAAGAACATACTAAGGATGATTATCAGCAAAATATACTCCAGAAACTGCCAACACATGATTGTTTTCTACTGGATTTAGAACACCATCAATGTAGCAAACAACTTCATTGTTTGAGTTATAAATTAAGTTTTTTTCTAAAAACAATACACAATACAAAATATAGTAACTCATTCCATGAAGGTTTTATCGATACAATGTAGAAAATTGGCACTTGTTATTTTTTTTAAACAATACATTTTATCTAAAAAAATTTTTAAGGGAAGTTAATTTAATTTTAATTTTAAAACAATTATCAAGTGACACTTGTGCTCTCTTTTGTGTGTTTGTGAACCACATTATGTGATTACTTTATTTATTTATTCCCCATTAACGACAAAGGGTACAATAAGTAATTTGTAAATATAAATAATTATGGAAAAAATAATAATACACCAGTATCACTATACTAGTATCATGCATAGTGAGATGGAACATATTGAGGCGGGGTAAGTCACAGGTCTACAAGAAATAAATAATAGTAAAATAATAAAATAAATCACTAATTAGATGAATTTTTTAGCTTTGATGCATAGCTGAGAAGGTATACTTTTTACAACGATGTGTTTTTATTTTTTAAGTCTGTATCCACAATAATTGCTAATCTACTGAATTGATTTCTTTGTGTATCAACTCTATAGATCAGAAATTGTACCTGTAAGGAACATTATTGGGCCAAAAATGTAAAAAATCCACTATTTAAATGTAATTTTATCTCTTTCACTTATAATAATTTCTGTAGACCTGTGACCTCTCTGTCCCCAATGTACTGGCTTTCCTTTACTGAAAATGTTTTAATGCTCTTCAATAGAACTATTGATAATTGTATGATTGAAATTTTTAATTTATGTCAAATCAAATAAATATTAAAATAAAAACTATATAATTTAAATAAAACGAGATTTTAATTACTTGCAACATCCAGATCAACAAGTACTCTGTCGTTTTCCCTTTTCCTGAAACAAAACAAATTATTAAAAATCCATGTTTAATGAAGAAATATTCTTAAAAATATCAACCACACGCTTTGTAAACCTAGTATTTTTTTAAAACTTTCAAAATTGCTCTAGTTTTTTTTTAAACCGTAAAATATAATAATAATCTATTACATTATAAATTTGTTTAGTTTAGTCATGGTTTCGTTTGATACTATTGTTAATTTTTGTATGTGAAATCTGAACTGCTTGCCTTTAAGGGCGTAAATATTTATTTGTTCTTTTCACATAAATTAAATATTTTTATTGTTATAAAATATGTATATAATTTGTATTATGGCTTGAATATGTACAGGCGCGTGGCAAAATGAGATAAGGCGGCAGTGTACCAATACACGGTCGAATCTCGGCCTATGGCGGTTTGTTCCTCCCGGCGGGCAACCATCTTGGGGGGAGAAATGGCCACTTGTCCCTCTCTCTGGGGCCAACTTGTTTGGTAGTGTTAGGTCGGCAGCCAGCTATTTACCCAAAAAAGCCAAATCTAAAGCTTCTAAGCCCCGATCAGTGGACAATAATGGACGTTAAACATAATGGAGAATTATGACTTGAATATGACGATATAAACACATGTTTATGAATAGGGGAAAAGTACACTTTGACCATCTAGAAAAAACATAATATACGCTTGTGGTTATATATTATAGTAAAGATATAAAAAAAACCCTAACAACAAATATAATCAATTTTTGTTTGTGGTTAAGAGTTCTTTAATTATTTTACTTCTTTACGCTTTGACTGTGTTAAATGTTGAGCTGCTGTATTGAGTGAACCAAATCAACAGTCATCAGGTATCAGAAAAATATTTTAATTTTATTTATTACGATACATGGGTAACAACAACAAATTATTATAGATAGACAAACAACCCTAATTGCATCTACCCTGATTCTAACAAAATAGTTTTAGGCACATTATTGTCTTTACAACAATTAAGTATGCCGTGATCTCACTTTGCTAGTCGTTTCGTACTATACAATAATTTGGTATGAACTAACCTTAGCAATATTTTTTTAAACTACAGTATAGTTAAGTTCATACTTACATCTAATAAAATCATAAAATATAGCTTAAAAAGCATGGGGTTCTTCTTTTTTACAAATGAGTTAAATTTTAGCTGTTTGAAAAAAACTTTTATTTATACAAGTTTAATTAAAAAAGTTGTTTTTAAATAAAAGTTCTAGCTTAAGTTCTTATTAAACTTTTAATTTTTCCCTCTAAAAGTAAAAGTTATATGTACAAAAAAATTCAATTATAATGCAAGATCATTATTATTTGACTCCTCAGCACTAAAAAAACTTTCACAAGTGGAAAACTAATGAATTCCAGCGACACAGGAAAATATTTCAACTTAAACTGTAGAGAAACATAATACAAAATGTTAGGTTAGGTGCAATTCATTCTTAATGCAAAATACTGCTCCCTATTGGCTGCCGGAAAAATAAGTCGGAGTCATCGATGTGACCGAGTCAGTAAGGCGGCAGTGGGTTTGCGCTCACTCTCGGTCACGGACGTTCCGTTTGCTGGGTGAGCAATCGTCCGGGGAAAAGGGCTGCCATCCCCATCACTGGCGACGGCCTGACAACCCGTTAAGGATAACAAATTCTTCGTCAAGAAATCATCTCATCATGACAGCAGCATTGGGCCCGTTAAGAATAAATTACATTTTTTTATTAGTAAAAAATTAAAAAACATTTTCACTAAGGTTATACATATGATTGTTTTAGACAGGGAAAAAAAAGTATTATAGTACTAATTTCTCATTATAATATGACTGGGACAAGGATTCTATTGCGCAAAGGTAGAAAAATATGGTAATCTATTGATCATGCCTATTTATTTATATAGTCATGGACATAACCACAAAAATTCAAAATAATATGTCAATCCATGAGAGCTTTAATAAGTTCATAGCACGTACCTTTCTGAAACTCTTTAACTATTGTTAAAAAATATAAAATCAATTATATCTTCTAACAAATTATCAGATAGTTGATAACAGACTGGAATCAACAAACTTAGATTACTTTAATTTAATTTTTTTGTACATACCGTTTATTGTTACTTGTACTGCTATTAGTAGTTTCGGATGTTTCAAGCTCTCCAACGATTCCATTTAAATGTTCGATTACAGATATGTTTAATGCTTGTAACTTAGATGTGTAACTTAATTGATTTTTAAGTTGATCTGTGAATTGAAACATTTTCTTAAAAGTAACATCAATCTAAAAGAAATTTAATTATTTATTAATTGACAATCATAATTAATAATAGTATGAATTATTTTACTTCGTTTATGTAGTTCTTCAACACATTAAAATCTTTGTTTTTATTAGAATTTGAATACGGTGGATCATCATTGAAGTACATAACCGCATGACCTAAATTTTCTAAGTATTTGACAGCTTCTTCTTGGGTACTAAACTTTTTGCAGAAACTATTGATACTTGAATCGCGCCATTTTTGGGCTGTAGGCCTAGAGTGAAAATGTAATATAATATTAAAGCTAAAACAAATTAAAAATAGGAGCCTCGTTAATTTAATGAAGTATATATTTACTTAATACTACTTTGATACAGTTCTATAATTATATAAGAATATATATACATATATATATATATATTTTTTTTATGTAAGAGAACAGGTTAAATAATTTAAGCCCAATTTTAAGTCAATATATACTCAATACTATTATACAAATATGAGTATTACATTTGAAATTTTAGGATTTTAAGATTAGAAATATTATTGATTTTACTAAAATAAGAAAAAAGTTGCACAGTAAGGTCAGGCATAGTGGAGACAGAAAATAGTGAGGATGGTGTAGTCATAGGGCTGTAGGAATTGTTATAAGTTATAACTTAGAGTAATGAAAAAAACACTTCAATGCATAGCTTTAGATAATAGAAAATTTAATGATGAATACAGATAAACATTGTTGTATAGGCAATCATGTGCTTAACATTTTTTTTTTAGTATTAAGGTTATATGAATATCTTGACCTGTTATTTGACAGAAGATTCATTTGGGAACCTCACTTCAAAAGTAAATGCAAACAACTCAACACTCGCCTACATCTAATAAGACCACTCATCCAGTCTTCCAAGAATATTTTTAACCTTTACTTTTGTACAAAACTCTTCTTTAACCAATCTGGTCTTACAACATTGTTCTCTGGGAGGTCGATAAATTTTCAAACAATAGGAAAATTGAGTCTTTTCAATACATACGCTTAGTCACCTAAGCTTCATGGTATGTCACTAACAACTCTCTACACTAAGACCTAAAAGTCCCAACTGTCAAAAAGACCGTATACATGGTTTACATTTGACTTTATTCCAAAATGTAATGTCATTCCAACTGACTTATCACACACTTCACTCAACAACACTTCTGGGCAATCTAATCAGGCATCTTAACCACATTTGGTCCAGAGATCTACTAAATGTTACTTCACTCAACTTAAATACTTATGTACAAGTGGCTCTTCAGTGTTCCTTCTCCTCACTGCTCATCAGTGCTGACAGAATAATTTGCGGGGCCTGGAGTGATTATTTTTTTTTTACTGCGGGATAATGAACATTTTTAAAGCTTTTCTTCCCACTGTTACTGGCTACGGCCAAATGAAATAAAAACTATACTCATTAAATTGTACTCATAGTATAGATTGTAAATAGTTTTTCTAAAACCTTAATTTAAAAAACAAAAAATAAGTATGAGGGTTAATCATCTACCTATCCATAAAAAATGTATTGTTATTGTCACCCATAGAACAAATTAAATTTACTGGACACCCTTTTTTCTGTGATTTTTTTATTTGCCATCTCATAGAACAACAATAATTTTCTTAAGTTTTAAAGCTTTAAGTTACTAAATCTTCAACTATTTAAAACAACTCCCTAAGCCTGCCGGCATCGTGAGCCGACTCAAGTCCATTCGGACTCTTTGATGGATAGGAACTAATTCTCTAACTCCCAGAGGAAAAAAGTAGCTTGCCTAAGGACTAAACTTAGGTTAGTTAGGTTACCTACTATCCTCGTATCGCTGACAAGTGTATTGTTATACACACAGAAATATGTCCATCGCACACCTCAGTCACCTGTGCTTGCAGCCTACTTCTATAAGCAAAAAGTTCAAAGTTCAAATAGCTATAACTTTTGAACTAGAGGAGTCTGCCGATTTCAGATTCATAATCTGCGTACAAAAATACTAATAGATGACAAAAAAAAAAGGTGTCCAGTAAAATAAATGTATGGTCTCCGATTTTCTACTTTTGACCCTCAAAATTCTACAGATTTGATTTTTGATCTAATGCTAAGCAAGTATAATATCCAGCAACTTCAGATACTGTGTTCAAAATAAAACATCATTAAAAAAAGCTATACCTTTAAAGGCAAATCTAAAAATATAACTAGGTAATTTATACCTGTACATACGGCTGTATGTAATACCTAATAAATATTATTTAGCAAGAATTTGTAAACAAAGATCACTGACGACAAATTCACATCTTTTAAAAATGGAAAGTAACTAAAAATTACCAAGTAGGTACAACATAATAAAAAATGTTTACCAATTAGTGGCCACGGTGCCCGTTCGGCTTTGCCGGAAAACAACTGCATAATATGGTGCCATTATTTAGTTAAGCGTCATTGAAATATTGAATATTCAGCGAAGCCACTCTTCAGACTGACATGGATTTAATAACACATACGACGACGGACGAACAAAGAAGTTTAAAATATCAAGCATTTATTTCAATAAAAGTATTGAATATAAGTATTGAAATAGCGGTAAAATGTTACTAAATACAGTGTAGCCAAATTACAAATCCAAACAATATTAGGTAAACACTAAATAGCTGTTACAAAGCGTTTATTTTGTAATAATTGTTATATTCTAACCTAACCGTTCCATTCATAACATTTATGAATATTGTGATTGTGAATTGTTGTGATATTAAAAAGTTAAGGTCACCGGTCATTACTCATAATATATGGGGTAATATGACGATATATTTTAAAGTAAAAATTATAGTATGGAATGATGTGATGTGTTTCATTTATAGACATCTCCATATTGTTTATATGACATAAGTCAACAATTTCTTACAATTACAACGATATAAATTCAAAAACAAAATTAATTATAGTATGTATTAACTATTAGCCTTGCAAGTGTAACCTATGCTTTTATATTGTTTAGTGTTTTACTGTTTACATCATAAAATATGTAACTATATTGCACTATACATTCAGTTTTAAAACAAATTATTAAATAATTATTTATGCATCCCATTTTCTCGATGAGTGATAATTTAAGTTAAATAAAAGCTATTTTATTTATTTTTCTTGGTTCCTGAATTAACAATTACAATAAAGGTAACTAACAATTCTGAATTTTATTTCTCATCGTTAATTTGTATATATATTTCTAGATGGGAAAATCAAAGAGCCAAAAAAGAAAAAAGAAGCTAAATAAAGTATCATACCATCAATCCAAATACATTTTGAATCAAACATACCCAAAAAATGTTAATAATTTTTCTTCTGTTAATCCCCATTTGAACTCTGCTGATTTACCAATAATTGTACATGACATTGATTATACTACAGACATACCTTTTATGGCTTCAACAGTTGTGCAACATGTAATTGAAACAAAAAATGTGGCAGAATTGAATCAATCATATTTTCCTTGCTTAAATAATGGAAAAGTGCTTAAAAAACAGAAGAAACGTAAAAAGAAAAGAAAGAATAATAAGTTTAGTGCTTCAAACACATATCCATACAATATTAGTAAAAACATAAATATTTTTGAGCGTGATAGATTAATTGGATTAGATAGAAAGCTTCGACCTATTGTGATTGATGCTGAAAATGTGGCCTATGCGTAAGTTTCAGATTTTAAATTTTATAGAATTAAAATTTCTTAAATATACTGCCTAATATGTGGTTTTTAATTTTTGTTTCAGACATTCTATTAATGAAACTTTTTCTGCCAAAGGAATTCAACTATGTATTGACTGGTTCAAGACCCATGGGCATTCTCATATAAAGGCATTTATTCCAAAGAATTACTTGGTAGACGAAGACTCTGAATGTTATAGAATAATTAAAAACTTGGAAAATAAAGGTCATGTATATTACACGCCCACAAGAGAAAATAAATGTAATAACATTCATTATCACAGGTCAGTTACGCATTTTGTATTAATCAATTATTTTATTTTATTTTTTATGTTACAATTTTATACTATTATACAATAAACAAATTTCTTTCGATACAATAAATAACTACTATTAACATAACTAATACCAAACATTTAACTTAAAAGTACTTTTAAATTTATATAAACTATTTACAAACAGATCTATCTTATATTTATTAGCTAATTGTAACATACGATTCATCGGTGAATTTGACACTAAACATGTGGTACCTTTTTTTTTTTTTTTAATCCTCACTTGCATCCTTTGCGTTCCGGGGGGGTACTTGCCTGGTGGGGCATTACTTGCCGGACTTCAAAATGTGGTACCTGAGTTAGGGTAGAATAAATCGGTATTGCGTAAGTTACGTTTATTTATCTTAAAATTTATCATTGCTAATAATTCAGAACAATCTATACAATTATTTATCAGTTTATACAAAAAGATGAAATCTGATTGTATACGTCTTATTTCTAACGTGTTTAATTATTTTTTTTACATAATTTAGTAAACTTGTTTACAATGAATGTGGAGCTCTATAAATATTGCCATTAAGAGAAACAAAATGGAAAAATCGATTTTGAATGGATTCTCAATCCTGTAATAAATAAAGCTAATGTGGTGAACAAAGAGCTGAGTTGTATTCGAGACATGATCGAATGAGAGAACAGTAAAATGTTTTTAAAGTTATAATATTATTAAAATTATTGCAATGCCGTCTTATAAAACCTAACTGTCTTGTAGCCTTATTAACAATCATAGAGATGTGGCGGTTAAAAGTTAAATCAGACGTGGATATATCCGAAAATTACTCAATTGATGAGAGACGTGTTTATTAATAGCTTCATACAAATAGTTTGTGGCTTCATTTATATTACACCCAAATAATTCAGAACGCCAATCAATGGAATTTAAATAATTATTAATTGCATTATAATTCCCTTTTTTTAAATCTAAATATAATTCTTTAAAATTTAAGATAGTTGGTTTATTTGTTAAGAAAGCAATAATAAGGGCTGGATGGAGAGGATCAAGAGGAAGTATGCTATCGATATCCATAACGTTTAAACAGACTGAGTTACAAAAAACTAAGTTCAACAACTTATTACAATTATTAAAATTTAAATTGAACTGAGAAAAATCATAAAATGTTAGTGTTACGTATCAGCAGTTTATATAAATACATATGGTGGAAATTGTCCAGTATTATTATTTACATTAATCTAATTGTGTTTTACTTTCATACTAAGGTATAACAGTTAGAAAGATTAAGATCAACAAGCAACATAATATTAGAACTTGGGTAATTACGGTAGATTTCATCGACAGAGTTAATATAAGATTCATAGCTTGACTTATCAATATTTGGCGGAATATAAACTGAACCAACAATAAACGATTGGTTCTTAAAACGCAAGAGAACAAATAGTGGCTTCAGTGATAGTATTGACACATTAAATAAAGAAGAGTTTATTGAATTATTTACAACTATTAATGTGGTGGCACCTCTAGAACAAGAGCTTGTATTTTTATTTCTATCTAACCTAAGAATTTAATAGTTTATAAATCCTAACTCAGTATCACTTACATTTTCGTTAAGCCATGTTTCAGTAAAAACATAAATATCAAAATTAGATATAGGAAGAAAACTATATAATACATTTAGTTTAGTGTTGACACCATAGACATTTTGATTATACATTTTTATTTCGGACAATATATAGTTACAATTGGGCTTATTCACATGTTTTTTGAATTTTTTACAGTAGTTTGATTACCTTTTATATACCGAATAAATAGATCATGCTCGCCACTAGATTTTCTCTCTTCTATTTCCTTACGTAACGCGTTAAAATGATCCGGTTGTTTAGATGATTTATCAGAAGATAATCAAATTAAATGAAATGTAGAGTGAGCCTGCAGCTTTTTTTTAAACTTTTTAACATCGAAAAAACATTTTTAGATCTGCTACCAAGCCTTACAACTTTAACTGGATTATAATCCAAATCCATGGCAGATAGTATATCTTTTGTAGTAGATAAATCATTGGTATTATGATCAGCGTCATCAGTCAAATTAAAAATTAGTCTATTTTTAGAATGATATTGTCTGTCAAGTAGTTCATCAACTATATGATTTTCAGTTGCCTGATTTACTACCATGTTGCAGGGTTCTAACTTTGTTATTTTATTTTCTAGAAAGACAACTTTCTCTTTTAGGATCGCATTATCTTTTATAAAAGACGATGGTTGGATAAATCACATATTTTTTTGTTATTTTATTTTTTACTAGAGCTTCGCTCTTGCTGGGGGCTCCGCCCCCAGGCCCCCGAGGTGGGCGGGTAGGTCACAGATTCCCGGTACTGTACCCGGCTACGCAGGGCATGCTCACGTCCCCTCGCTGCAAAGTATTTTCGGGAAGGTCACAGATTTCGAGGGGGGTGCCCGGCTGCGCCGGCCACGGTATGTGGAAGTCAGTGCACAGCGGTTCCTAGGGGGGTGCCCGGCTGCGCCGGCCACGGTGTGTGCAAGTCAGGGCACGGCGGTTCCTAAGGGGGTGCCCGGCTGCGCCGGCCACGGTGTCGAGCCATCTCAATACGTCTTAAAGGAATCACGTTATAATTCATGGTACCTATAGGCTGTATCTAGTAATCAGAATTCATACCTAGTTATGGACAAATATTTTGCAAGCTAAATACTGGTTAAGTGTAGAGTAAGTCTAGCTATGTATCTGTAATTTTTTTTAATTTTAAATTGAAAAGAATAGTCTAGAAGTTAGACGGTTAATAAATATCAAGATGTCCGGTGTTGCTTACTTGGGTTGCTACCACTTTTATCAATTTGTATGAACTACCAATGTCCAGTTCCAGTTCAGCGGGCGGAATTCGTATTGATAACTGATAAGGACGGCAGGTCTCCGAGTGTTTTGGCATTCGCTCGCTCGGAGCCGTCGCTTCGCTCCGCCAACTAAAAATATCCTAGGTTTGTAGGCTACAGTCTATGAGGAGGTAACAGGTTTAAAATTAAGTTTAAATTAAAATTTTAAAAAGTTAAAGAGACTTGATAAGAAGCTGGCCATTGGGAAAAAGTGTACAATGGAAATTGTCTTTGGTAAAAGTTGTTATATTTAGACCACGTCATCAATATAGGCCGGTGTCATCCCGCTTAATTTTATAAGTTGAAAACAGATAAAAATGTCTAGAGGACAGTCAGCTAAATGTCTGTTAAGGTTTACCTTTGTGAAACAAAATTTGTTTAAACGTAGTACGTTATATGTCTGTACACAGCAGTTCCGAGGGGGGTGCCCGGCCACGGTGTCGAGTCAGCTCACTACGTTTTAAAGTATACCGTTATAATTCATCGTACCTTTATCTAGTAATCATAGTTCATACTTAGTTTCGAAAAAGTGTTTCGCAAGCTAAGTACCGGTTAACTGTAGTGCAAGTCTAGCTATCTGTCAGATCAGAAACGTCCTACTACTAAAGCGAGTGTGCTACTTGCTTAAAGGACAATTATTTTTTTTTTTTTAATTTGAATTGT